ATATAAGGAAATAATATTTATGAATATATATTTTTTTTTTTTGGTAGGGGCGATTTGAATTATATGTAATGCATTTATATGCATAAAATAAACAAAAAGTATCTACCGTGTTATTTCTCTTTTTCCACATTTTATGCTTGAACTCATGTAACAATTGATAGCATTCAGCTCAGACACTTCAGAAGTTATGTACGGGCCCTTTAAATGGGGGCGTGGTTAAGACAAACGTTGCCAAGGAACTTAGCTTGTGACGTAGCCGCAGAGTAACTGGCGGATATTTTCAAAATGGAAGAAATGTCAGACTTTTGGAGGGGAACGGTAGCTCTAAGTTTGTTTACCCTCTGAGAGCCGCTGCTCCGGGGATTTATGCTTTATGTTGACAGAAGAAAATTTACACAAACCCACGCGGACCTGTGAGGTCGAAACCCGGCAGGATGAGCGTTTCAATCGGCGACAAGATCGAGGTAAGTCCCTTTGTTAGGCTAACGCACACAGCTAGCGCTGACTGCGGCTAGCAAAAGGGGCGTCGGGAGTAAGAACACACCGCTAGATAGGCTCTTACTATCCTTTAGCTAAGTGGAAAAGCCTATTAAACGCTTTCTCAGTAAATGGAGAAATATACTTAATATATTTATCATCAGAGGTAAACATGGGGAGGGATTGAATTAGTTTTAGCTTGTGGTGTTATTGCTCTGGCATCATCACCATCAACATATACATTTTTGCATGATCAAAATAACTTATGTTTTTATAATCGACAATAATATATTTATTAATAACATGTATAGAGTAATCTTCATATAATAATAATAATAGTGATGATAATAACATTAATATTTTTTATAGTACTTCCAATAAATGATAATGTTTATTTGGTTAGCTATTAGACGCTCTCCAGGGACCTGATCATGGCATCAGTTTGCTAACACATCCCGCTGCCTAGAAACGGCAGCTTTCTGTCCTCCAGCGGGGAGAAAGCCGGGATAATTAAAGGTTTTGATTGGCCAGATGGCAGCGTCAGTGCTTTGAGAGTTACTGTTTGTTGTGGTTTGTCGTTAGCTGCTGGTGTGACCCTTCCTGTGAGGATTTAGGATGTCGCATGTAAGAGGGACAGTGATGTTTGATCAGATTATAAATGATCTCTATAAAAGTTTGTATGATGGACACTTTACCAGCCGAATTGAGGACAGTGTTTCATACTTTGAGGGGCTTAATATTGAGGTGCGTGCTTTTAAAGATCCTGCTGCTGCGTTCAAATGCTCATCTAAAGTCTAAACATATTTTTTTTTTTTGTGTTTTCTTCTGTTTTTGTAGGATTTTAAGGTCCTCACTCTCCTTGGCAAAGGCTCTTTTGCATGTGTTTACCGAGCAAAATCTGTCAAAACAGGATTGGAGGTTGCCATTAAAATGGTAAGATCATTTTGTTGTTGGAAATACAAGCTGTTGCCAGGAAATGGCAGTTCATGTGCAAACTTAGTACAGTTGGATTATTAGACTTTAGTTACCTCCCCTGGGCTTCTCTTGGTCCCACAAAGACTCCCCCAGTTGGTAAGGTGTTGCTGTGTAACAGATTGGCTGTTAGCTCCCAGACTGAAACACAGCTCAGTCCCATAGTGCATGTTAATCCGTTTTAGAAGGGGTGTAATTATCTGTGTTACTTCCATCTGTAGATCGACAAGAAAGCGATGCACAAAGCTGGCATGGTCCAGCGTGTGACAAATGAGGTGGAGATTCACTGCAGACTGAAGCATCCCTCCATCCTCGAGGTAATGTTTACAGGATAAGTTATGTTTTAAAGTCAATACAGTACTTCACCCCAGTTCTTCATGCAGACTTTTGCTCTGATGATTGAGAAATACATTAAATGTTTGTTTAGTTTAATCAAGTTCAATTTTAATATGATCGTTTTTAAGTCAAATCACGGTTTGGGTTTAGTCATTGTTGTTCTAACAAGTCCTGAAAGTTGTATTAAATGTAATTCAGCTGCAAAAAATGGTTCCAATAGTTGCTAATTATATGCATTCATCTTAGGGATTTTAAGACCTTAGTTAAGAATTTTATTGAATTTGACTAGATTAAATAGACTTTCCCTGAATATCTTGGACTAGTTGTTTGCATAATACTTAGATGAAGGTTTAAAACAAATATCCCCAAGATAAAAATGTTTTATTTGCCACAGGAAATTCATTTAATTTGACCTTTACTATTAAACAAATGGATTTTTTGTTTGAATAATGTTGTCTAATTTTGCTATTTTAATACATGCACTTAAACAATGTTATAACAGTCTTCTCCACTAGATATAGTAGTATTTCATTTGATAGTAAATTTTTCATTCATATGTATGCATCATGTATTTCCAAAGCTCTACAACTACTTTGAGGACAGCAACTATGTGTATTTGGTGTTGGAGATGTGCCACAATGGGGAGATGAGTAGCTACCTGAAAGAGAAGAAGATGCATTTCTCTGAAGATGAAGGTGAGATGCAGTTTCCTCTGATATTTTCTTAAATGCTGTAATAAAAGATTTTCAAGTTTTATCATATTTAGCTTCCTAAACTGTAATTTGTTTTTTGTCTGCAGCCAGACATTTCATGCATCAGATTGTGAAGGGAATGCTGTATTTACACACCCATGGCATCTTGCACCGTGACCTGACGCTGTCCAACCTCCTGCTAACCAGCAACATGAACATTAAAATAGCAGACTTTGGCCTCGCCACTCAGCTCAAACTGCCAAACGAGAAGCACTTCACCATGTGCGGGACTCCTAACTACATCTCTCCGGAGGTGGCCACCCGCAGCGCTCACGGCCTGGAGTCAGATGTCTGGTCTCTGGGCTGCATGTTCTACGCCTTCCTGATGGGTCGCCCTCCGTTTGACACCGACACGGTCAAACACACTTTGTCCAAAGTTGTTCTTGGGGAGTATGACATGCCGAGCCATGTTTCATTAGAAGCTCAGGACCTGATCCATCAGCTCCTTCAGAGAGACCCTTCCCTGCGACCCAGCCTCTCTACGGTGCTGGACCACCCGTTTATGACCCAGAGCCTGCTGGTCAGGACCAAAGAACTGAGGCTTGGCGATGACAGCTCCATCGACAGCGGCATCGCAACCATCTCAACAGCGTGCACCTCCTCCGCTTCAGCGAGCAGCGGCACCCGTCTCCAGCGGAGGACCAAGCACGTGATTGGTCCAACTCTGCCTAACCGTATGATGTCGGTTCCACCGCGCCAGCCCGCCAGCTTCGAAGACGGAGACCAGCTGCACCAGCAGTACCCACCAGACAGCTTCTGCAGGGAGGGCAGGCGGCGGGACAATCATGTTGGTGAGAGTGGACAGCCGTATTCCAGGTTCCTCAGGAGGGCTCACTCATCAGAACGCTGCAGTTCTGCAGAATCAGGACAAACCTCCTCGCAGCATGAGCTCGGGAGATGTCATTCAGAGGAGACTCTGTCTGCTTTAGGACGGCCCTTCTTCCCCTCGTCCTCCACTCCTCATTCTTTTACAGATCATTGCAGGCTTCCCTCCCCTCCAGTTAAACAGTAGGTCCTCCTTTTGTTAAACTAATCTCCTCCTCGGGTCTCAGATGGAGCTTTATCACAGGCTCTCACTTTGTGTTTCAGCTCAGCCTATCTGTCAGCTCAGATGGTTCATCCACCAACCTCCCAGTATCAGGACTTCGAGGGAGTTTCTAACTGGCTCAACAGTGAGGGTACGTTTTTGCTTTTTAATAAGTGTGTGCTAGATCCAGGCTCTGACTAATATTTTAACAGTTTTTGACTTTCTTTGCAAGTATTAGAACCAATTTAAAATCATAATTCTTAGTAGAAGTTCATCAGGAGCCTCGGTTGTCAGGTTAAATCGTGTCTCTGCCTCAGGTTCGGGGCCAAGACCCGCAGACGGCAGCGGCGGCAGCTTCCACAGCAGAGGGCAATCAGGGGTTCACAGCTCCTGGTCCGAGCCCATGGGCCGAGGTCAGCAGCACCTGTATCCCGAGTCATCCCGGGAGATCACACCAGGAACAGATTTCCAGCCTCCTCACAGCAGGGAGCAAAAGCCCCCATCAACCAAACCCAGAGGGGAGAAGCAGAAGAAGACGCTGAGAGACGTTGTGCCTCCTCTGTGCGCCTACAGACTGAAGCCCATCAGGCAGAAAACCAAAAATGCAGTAGTAGGATATAATTCCCTTTCTTTTTCATACTTGTGATGTAATTGTTAATGCATACACATGCTCAGTCATCTGTTTTCTTTTTTTTTTCTTTCTTAGGTGAGCATCCTAGACACAGGGGAAGTCTGCATGGAGCTTCTAAAATCCCAGAATGGGCAAGAAAGGGTAAAAGAAGTCCTGCGTATCTCCTGTGACGGCTCTATGGTACGTCACATGACGCACACAGCAGGAACCTTCCTGAAGCAACATTTCTAAAACAGTGCTATTGTTGTAGGTAACAATATACCAACCAAATGGTGGGAAGGGGTTTCCGGTGCTGGACTGCCCACCAGCGCCTCCGGAGGATATTCTCATCTGCAGCTATGATGACCTTCCAGGTAATTAGAGAGGCTTCCTGATTATCAGAAACTAGACATGAAGCTTACTTCATGACAGTGGGAAAAATAATAATTAATTAACAATAATAACCTATTCTTTTAACGTATATTTTAAACGTGCTATGAGTTTTTTGGGTCTGTGTTATTAATCATGTATTACTGAAAGGTCAGACCTTGTTTCATCCTCATCCTGGTAGATGTTAGCAGATTTTTAATTATTTTTAGTTTGCAATATATAAAATATATTGTGTTAAATTCTTATCAGAGCTAAATTTATTTAGAAAAACTTATGATATGTTAATAACTTGATTAACCTTTGTGTTGCAGAAAAATACTGGAAAAAGTACCAGTATGCCTCCAAGTTTGTGCAGCTCGTGAAATCCAAAACCCCTAAAGTGACTCTTTACACCAAGTACGCCAAAGTCATGCTGATGGAGAACTCACCTGATGCAGACCTGGAAGTCTGTTTCTATGATGGTGAGCCCCAGATGTTTGGCAGATGTGGAGAGCTCAGCGCTGTGGAGAAGAGCTGAACTGATGCTGTCATTTTTCAGGAGCAAAAACCCACAAGACCTCTGAACTGGTGCGAGTGGTGGAAAAGAGTGGGAAGTCGTATACCGTGAAGGGAGAAGTGGGTCTGAGTGGCCTGAGCCCTGAGAGCAGGTTTTATGTGGAGCTGTCCGACGAGGGCCACAGCATGTGTTTGTCACTAGAGGCCGCCATCACTGCGGAGGAGCAGCGAAGCACCAAGAAAGTCCCCTTCTTCCCAATCACTATCGGCAGGTACTGAGAGAGACGTTCTGTTTTATGTGTAAGGAGATTATTTTTCTCCCTTAACTAAGATGTGATAATTTGTGTTAACCTGTGCAGGAGACCGACCAGCTCCGAGGCTCCCTCCTCCGCATCGGATCCATCACAGCAGACCCCTCCTGATTCAGCAACACCTCCTAAACCGCCGCAGTTCACTCCTTCAGTAAGACTCCCAGCCTTAAATTCACAGGAGCCAGTTCACATTAAAAGGATGATGGGAGTTCTGCCTCTGGATGTCCCTCCGATAGAAAACATATTTTCCTTTTCTCTTTTAAGGGCATAAAAGGCTATATTTACTATGAAAAAAACTACTCTGACAATAATCTGACCTTCGTCTTTGCCTGCTGTTCTTTATGTGGCTATCCTTTCTCTTTCATCAGCATCAGAAACCCATTATGACAGTTTACTTTAAGCTGAAAATCAGACGTTTTTATTCCTTCATCATCTAGAATGGTACTGCAGCACTTGCAGGCCTGCTGACTGACCACCTATGTGCTCAGGGGATGTTTGTGTTTGATTTCTGTTTGATCCATTATTTGATTGCAGATGATTTCCTACGACGGGTCAGATTTCACCTCCGCAAGCATGAGCAAGAAGAGCTCTCCGGTCCGACAGGATTTGGTTCAGAGTGCAGGAAAGGTGGTCAAGTCAATCTTTGTGCCTAATGTTGGATGGGCATCACAGGTAAATGATTACAGAACCGTCTGAACACTGACCGGCCGAAGACTGAATCTGTTCATAAATGGCTGTTTTTGTTTTTTTCTGCTGCTGCTGAAGCTGACTAGTGGAGAGGTGTGGGTCCAGTTCAACGATGGATCTCAGCTGGTGGTCCAGGCAGGGGTTTCCTGCATCTCTTACACGTCTGCAGAAGGCAGGATCACCAGGTAACTATAGGGACAGTTTCGTTATCAGGAAGGGGAAGCAGGGATGCAGCAGCGGCTTTAAATGTACCCGCCTCCCTTTCTGTTAGTTTAAGGTTATATTTAGTAAAAAATAGACAATGTGTTTTTTTCCCCCCTCCCTAACAATAGTGGCTCTACCATAATAAAAATCAACCTAATATATGACCTGTTGCACCCTAGCCTCCAGCTGGAGCTCCCTGATGATTTCTCTATTGAACTATTTCCTGTTCCAGCTTCTAACCCGCCGCGTCTCGTCTGCAGGTACAAGGAGAACGAGAAGCTCCCAGAGCACGTCAAGGAGAAGCTGCACTGCCTCTCCACCATCCTCGGACTGTTGGCGAACCCGACGACATCTCGTCAACCCGCCGGCTGCAGAGAACCGCATTAGCATTAGGGACCTTCAGAACGTTAGCTCTGCTGGGGCTGTAAATATTACATGTGTGTTGTCTGTTTTTACCTGTACAGAAGACTGATTATGAAAAGATTTTATTTTTCTAACATTGTATAGTGTCTCAAATAGCTGGTGGGAAAGTTCTCCTGTCTCATGAACTTGGTGATGAAATAAACATCTGGAGGGTGGAGAACAGAAGTGCTTGATGTTTGATATTAAAAAAAAATTCTATTAAAAATGAAAAACATTGAAGCTCCCTGACCTAAAGAGTTTATAACCTAAATGATTAAAAATCAGGCATCAGACAAAGGAGGTTTCACATGTTTATTTTGCCGGTTGAACTGGCCCTTTAATTAAAAAAAGGTCAAAATTATGGATCTTAATTACAGAACTCTTACAAAACATACTATACGGAATTTAGCCTCGGTGCATATAAACATATAAGACACCCAAGAAGTAAACATTGAGGTGAAAGTGGGAGCAGGAAATGGTATTAATCTCAGGTTATTTTCTAAAATCAGAATGAAGCAGAGAAGGGAAGAGCACAGCGCCGTGTACGGATATCAGCCTTTCCCCGTTAAAACGGGGATGCATTACATTCTCCTGAACCTGATGTCAACCCAATCCGATCGCTTATGGATTTCAATGACAATTGCTTAAGTGGAGAAACCAGAAGGAATGATCTCTGAGATTTAAGAGGCAGGCTCAGAGGAATGCAATCATTTACAGACTGAACAGCAGTGCTGCTTTCATTTTGATCATCAACATGCGAGCCATTTTACTGTAAAATATCCACATGTTCAAAAACATTACTGCTCTCATATTATTTATATAAAACATTTTCCCATAAAATCTCAATAAAATAAAGTTACTCTCATTAGATGTTAAGACAAAAGTATAAACAAGCTGGAGTAAAAAAAAAAAAAAAAAATCACAGTGAACATTGGGAACAAGAGCTGGACATCCCATCATGGATACAGCAGCTGGAAGAGGAGACGGGTCAGGTTTGAGCTCGGAGCGAAGGAACTGACTGGAGATCTGCAGAAGAGGATAAAAGACGGGAAAACTACTGATTTCCCCTTGTTTCTCTGGGTGCCTTAGATCTATTCAACCTTCAAATGTTTAGGACTTAAAAAAGAAAAATGGTTTAAAGTGACATGGCTGTTTAAGGAGAATATTGAAAAAACTCCTGGAATTTCTCTGCAGTCATTAAAAAAAAGGGGAATGTGGTCGCAGAGAACCGAGCTGACGCTCAGATGCCGTTTGTTGGACATCAAACATCTGGAGCTAATGAGAAGGAAATCAGCCAAACGGCTGCGGAAAACTTGGTCATGTGATCATGGATGTTAACGTTTCTCTCACCAACAAACTAATTTCATGGCACTTGGAGAGACAAACCGCTCACATTGGTTCCAACTAAACTCGATCTGACCCCAAAGTCCCCGGCAATCAGCCGGCTTCAATCTGCAGCAGCCTGGGATCTGTGGAGCGATGCTGGAATGCCGTCTCGTTCCCTTTCACTTCCACAGAGCGGTTCTGACCCGAGAACAAGCCCACAGGAGCAGGACCTGTTGATTGGTGGATGTGCTTCAGTCTGAAAGTTTCTCCAGCTCGGATCAGGCTGTCCCCGTTTGCTACCTCATCTGGACCCTTTCTTTACAGAGATCCCACAAGGGAGAAAAGTGAAATCAGCTTTTAGGTTCCCAAAGGCTCACGTTACAGTACTGAGACAGTCTTATCAGACAGAACCAAATGTACAAAAAGGGGAAGGAAGCTTACACCCAATCACCAACAGTTTCAGTAACCACAGAGGAAAAGGCCTATCGTTGATTAGATACATTATTAACATCATTAATTACTGATTATTATTCGTCGTTGTTATTATTATTATTATTACTGTCACCACTGTGATTTATTTGTTATGGAATCAAGCGGGCCGGGCCGGGCTCAGTCATTGGGAGGAGGCCTTTGTTGCTATCGTAGAGACGCAGTGCTGCTGGAAGTTGGGAGACACAGTTGAGTTGCAGCCCAGTCTCTGTAGCTCTTTCCCTCGCACGCTGTTGCAGGGGGCCTGAGGGGTGGCGCCACCGCCGCTCACCGCTAAGCCGTTGGGCTGCTCGGCACCTGGAGCAAAGTCGGGGTTATGGCTCTGCAGGATGCTGCTGATGTGGCTCAGCAGGTCGTTGAAGAACTCCGGGACACCTTCGTAGCCTGGAAACATGGAGGGGCGTTCAGGAACACAGTAGAAAGACGAAACAGTTTTGGTTTAAACCGTAAAACACATTTTCTCTTTTGATGGGACATCAAAAATCCAGCTGCTTTGTTAAAAGTTCGATGCATCAATGCATAGACATCACAAGGAATAATGCATAAGAAAAATTTACAGTACGCAAATAATCAAGTTTTTTTTATTTTCCTTCCATGTATCGTTTGTTTTCACCTCATGATATTCCATCTTTCCTTCATTCCTTCCCTTTCTTGTTTCCCTTCTCACTTGCTTTTCTTACCGTATATCCTTCATTTTTTTTCTCATATGTGTAATCTCATTTTTATTTTTTTGAAACTCAGCTCAGAAACTCAGTAAAACTCAGTTTACCACGAAATCCCGGAAGGATTCTGAAATGTATTTCATAAATTACAGTTAACGTTGACATCCTGAGGAAAAAAGTAACTACAGCCTTCCGTTTGGTGGAGCTTGGTTTAACAATATTTTTCCTTCTCTGCTAGATGAAGCTGTCAACTTCCTCACCCCTAATCCTTCCGCTCTGATTTATTAGTTTTGCAATGAAGACACTTTAATTCTGTAATGAAATCTGAGCTACTGTAGATCTGTATTAATTATCAATGCTGTGCAACTCAGGTCTGCTAAAATATAAGGTGGATTGGTAAATTCAAACCTAACCTAAACTCTGAGGCTGCCTGGTTCAGAGCAACGCTGCAGCTCTGGGTTGTCTCCATTAAGATCCAAAATAGCTCAGGATTCCAGAAGTGACAGAAGGCCATGAGTTTTACGCACGCAGACTGAGACACACACCAGAGCACACGGTTGCCATGAACCAACGAGGCTCAAGCTAAACAGGGTTCCGGCTCCGGAGCCAACAACCAAACAGAGATGATTTAGACCAACAGAACCCGCCTTTCCGCCAAACGAGCCCCACACCTACCGGGAAACGCGTTGATGTCGATGACGGCGTGCTGACCCGTCTGATTATTGATGATGACGTCGATGCCGAATAGTGACACGCCCAGAGCCTGCCGCAGTGACCTGGACAACTCCCTGATGACATCATCGCAGGGCGGTTGGGACACCCCCTCCACGTTCTCTCTCTGAGGTCAACATGATAAACGTTTAAGCAAAAACTAATAGAAACATTAACAGAGGAGCTGTTGATGATATCTGGGACCCACCGAGGTCAGGTCTGAGGACGACTCGGGTTTGGAGACGTTGTGGCTGTTGAAGAAAATGGCTTTCCTTTCTGAAAATGGAAAAAATAAATACCATGAAAAACAGAAGGAGGGTAAGTTTCACATCATGGCCTGTAGGTGGCAGCAAAGGTCTGAAGTTACATGAGTCAAACAGCCAACTCTGAAACAAAACTCTGAAAGTTAAAGGCATCAGTTTTAAAAGTATTTATGCTGGACTGGAATGCTTAGTCTTTGATTTACCTCGCATGTAAAATTTACTTTTAACCTCTTAGCATTCTGGTTTTTCAGTCATAAAAAACAAAAACAAAAAACGCACAAAGGGGCCACTTTCTTATGGGCTTACTCTCTAGACCAACCATGACATTTAATCTTACACGGCTAAACCTGACGTCCAAAAACCTCAAGTAGAGACCAAAAATAAATTATTTTAGAATACTTTTTCTTTTTATAAAATCAGATTTTGTTTGAGAAATGTTACATTTATGAATTTAAAGAATAAAAACAGAACCTTGATTATTCTCACAAAAAAACCCATTCATTTGATCTAATTTATTGTTTGTTGTGGCTATTTTGGTTTCACTAAAAAATAAAACCACATTGTGCATTTTAATGAGTCTCGTTTGAGTGGGTGTATTTATTTTTTTAAAAGTGGTTAAAGGCAGACAATTTTTTCTTGTACCCTAATTTAGGTATATTTATGTTTGCCAAAATAGTTTAAAACTATTTCAAAGTAAACATTTTCATAAGGTACCAAATCTGCCATTTATAAAACTATTTGGGGGCTGTGAGTGGCCCCCACGCTGCCCTGTGGAGCTCCCTGATCCAGGATGCACCTCTGTGGGATCCTGCTTCAGCTGTCTGACGTGGATCATTTTCATGCACAAAGTAACTGTTGCTTTGCAAAGATAAGCAAAGCAGCTTACTACACTGCAGTTGAAAACGCTTTGCATGAGGGCTTCTACTCTGCAACATGCAAATCCTGAAGTCGTCCGTCCGAAGCACAGCATTGCGCTGCGCTGAGGACGAAAAGCTGTGTTTGCTCTGAGCAGGACGGAAACCTGCTGCAGCCCTTAAAAGGCCATCAGGTCTGATTACAGGGACATTAGAGCTGTTTTATGAGCTCTTTTATTGGGGGATCTGAACGAGCAGAGCAGATTGTACCGATGAGGATGTGTGCAGCCTCCAGACTCCTCAGCCGTTGCTCACCTGCAGGGCCAGCAGGGAAGTTCTTCAGGGAGGGCCTCTCCACCACAGTGTAGGACTCTCCCACCACAAACACCTTGTACAGCACGGCGTTGTGGTTGATGAAGCTCTGGATCACACACGGGGGTTTCACGTCCTTCATGTCCTCTTCACTGAAGATAATGGCCATCTGTGGACAGAGGAAAGACGCTGCTGAACTCGGTTAAACCTTAACTCACATCAGCGCTGTTCGAGACCTGGGATGATGAATGTTTGTGGTGCTGGATTCAGCCGACATTATGATGACACATTTATCTGATTCTGGTGTTTGAGTTGAGTTAATGGACAATCCTGTGACGGGTCATGCTCTATCTACAGGAAGTGCAGCGTGTGCAGCTTCTCACCTCATGGGAGTTGGTGCCATGAGCCACACGGGTTTTACAAACTGTAGAGAAAAATCAGAGGGTCAGAACTCAAACAGGCCTGTAGGATTTACAGATGAAAGCAGATCTCTGGATAAAAGATCCACTCACTGAAGGGGAATGTGAGACCCTGCAGCTTGATCTGCTCCAGTACGTCCGGGGTGCACTCCGTGTTCAGGACCATGAATGGAGGAGAGCAAATCCTCTCATCTGATTAAAAAAAAGGGGAGAAGATTGACGGCATAAAAACGATGTATTCCTTTAGATGTTAGCAAAGCTAAGCAGAGATCAGAACAGGCCAGTTTTCCCCTGATCGACTCGTAGGTAGTCAAGAATCTGCAGTCATTTACATCACAGGCATCAGCAGCAAACAGGAATAACCTAATTATCAATAAATTCTTGAAATTTTAGCTGCTTTTTTATAGGTTTGGTGTGCAGAGTTTAAGGAATAGTTCATAAAAAGGAGGGAGGAGAAATGTAAATATGAATGGAAATAATTAATCAACTGTTTTTCCCGCATGTACCTTTTGTGTTCTCCTTGTAGCACCATTTTTCTTTAATTCCTTTCTTCTGTCCCTCCTCACCTTTTTTTTAATCTCCATTTGTTATAGTGTAAGTAAGTAATCCCAGTCCTTTAAATCAAATGCCTTAAAACTACTAACCACCTTTCTGTTCAGTTTGTATAGCCAGTGGGCGGAGTTAGCCATTTTGGCCCCAGTGCAGCTTTTATAAAGGGTCCCTCCTCCAAGTCTGCCTGTTCCCCCTGTAGGCCATAGGTGTAAAAGATTGTGTAGGGCTCTCACAAATTATATATTGCAACACTGTGAAGCAGATAGTTGTTCAACAATTAACTGCGGTCCTTCCCTTGAGATGTCAATCAACATACATAGCCTCTTTGTGTCTTTTAAGAATGGCAGTAATTTCTTTTGTAAGAGTTATAGGCTCAATCATAAGGAGCTGCGCTCGTCCTCCATGTTTTTCCATGTGGAGCTATCTGCGTGGTTACAAATTGTTCTAGGTGTGCGGTGTAGATATTCAGACCACACACAAGTGTTAAAATGATGGAATTTGAGCGTGCAAACCTCACAGACGCATCAAGCATACATCCAGTTTAAGTAAAAGGTCTCTGCTGTATAGGAGACGTGGCTTTCTGCTCCTTCCAGAAGCAGAGGGGAGCTCAGGGGCTTCAAACATCCTTCCCTCACCCCTCTTTGAAAATTAGATTAGGATTACACCTGTATTAATTTGATCTAGAAAAACAATATTTATTGTTCTACATTTTGTTTCAGCAATATACGCTTTGCAGTAAGTTATTCTGAACCAATCACAAAGGTTTGCATCAACTTTACTTGGTTTAATCTTTTTTTTAAGCTTATTTATGTGAAGGTTAACGAGATTTTTTTTTTTTAGCTCATTCTAACTAACAAAAGTTATTTTTAAACTCACAGAAGTAAAGAAACTTCCATAAAGTGGATTTTCGTTTATCTTAGCCAAAAAGTACGATCCTTAAAGCCCATTTATTTATTATATTTATGATGAGAGCTTTCCAAACTGTTTTAATAACATTGATTCTATAAATAAAATCCTTTTATGAACCTGTTCTGTACCACTGGTGCCTTGCAGAGAACTTTTCCCCCCGATTTTCTTGCCAAAATGAATAAATCAAACATTTTACAGCACAGTCTGTTGTTCTCCACAGAGGATGTGAACCATTAGTGTCGTCTTTACTATTAAACACTTTCTGTAGAGAAAAATATGAACTTTATGGGGTTTAAATGATAACATCGACGTCTGTTATCAATATACATTTTTTTAGAGATTAAACACTATACATAAAATAGTATGAAGGTTTTATTTTAATTAAAACCAAATCCTTGTTTAATGAGTTTAGTTTTTGAGATTACTATAACTGAAAAGAAATGAAAGGTAAATTTGTTATAAATTACGATAGACTGAACTGAAGTAATCTTTTATTCTACAGATTATATACTTAAGATTACCATTTTTTAATACTATTTTTTTTATAGTTGCATTTTTTTTCAGTATAAAAACTATTAGATAGTGGAAGTTAATGATCGACTTCTAATTCAGAAAGTAGAGAACTTATGATATTATCCTCATCTGTTTAATAGTCATTTAAAGGTGATTTAACTGATCGAACTCTGATTGCAAACTTGTCATTTCATGTCTTATAAAGTAACGCATTATAATTGACTGAAAGTACTTTGAAAGAACATTTCCCTATTTTTTGTTTAAATGTTTGATTTTATGTTTTTAAGTGAATTGTCTCATTTTGACCCAGTGAGGAACTAGAGAAACTTGTGTTTTTACTAATATTTTTACTTCCCATTACTGCCTATCTAGAGGTCTCAATATTGTCATCCTTAAAAAGATCACTTTTTATTGTTAAGATCCAACTTTATTTATCAATTGTATGACAAACTTTGCACTCATTGATTTAAAGTAAACATATTGAAATAAAAAATGAAGGTAAATATTAGTTCAGTAATAATCTCCTAATTGTTTCCTTAAATAATAAAATTCCTTAGTGATTACGGAGCCTCAAAAGGGTTAAAATGTGGAATCCTTTCATTTTAAAATACCATGCAGCACACCTTTCTCCTTTATTTGTTAACAACGGATCATTACCCGTCACACGGGAAACCTGATCTCATGCAGGAAAAATGGGATCGGCGCGTTTTTGTTTCCCATTTTCTCCCGATTCTTCCCAGATTCTTACATTTCAGCCATTTATAATAGAGACTGTAGTGGAACCAAAGTAAAAAAAAGTGTTTTCAATATAGAGTTAATGATTTGCACCCTCTGTTGCGTCGGCTGGTAACTGGTTGGTAAAACCTGACTCATATGACAGGCAGATGAGACTTTATGCAAGCTCTAAAAAACAAACAGTCATGCATCACCTGCCTTTTTTCTGTGTTTTTCCCCCACCTCCTTCCCATTTGGTGTATACCAACTCATGCTCTTTAAGGTCACATGACTGCATGAGTGACACCCTACCATGTTATGCAACAGAGTTGAAGACAAACTGCGCGCCCAAACACCCGTCATTAAGGAGTCATCAGGTCCACCCGTCATCCATTAAGGGTCTCCCAGCAGCGAACCGCAACAGTAGCATTTAGAGTCCGATGAGGCCACGGCTTCTTCTGAAGCTTGGCCTCTTTCTGTCTTATCTCTAACAGACGGCAACAGAAACCCTGTCTTACATCACTTCCTGTAGGGGAGAGTTCCTGACAGGAATAAACAGCAGTCAGTAGGCTTCATCATGCATAAACAGTCATCTGCTCCTTACGTGTGATTCCAGCGAGGCAAATATAAACCGTAAGGAAACCAGGACATCCAATGTGAGTCATTATTTATTTAACAAAAGCAAACAGCAGAAGCTGTTAAAAAAATGAAGTGAATTTTCAATAAAAACGGAAGAGGATATAACCTAAATAGTAAAACATACACGGTTTAGATCAATGTCTTATCTTAAAGGCAGAGCGAAGCAATGAAAAAGTATCCCAGGATTTAATGGCTTATTTATTTATGTTGATGCCACTGCCCCCGTCTGACATCGTTGGAACTGCAGCGAAACAAACACTGAAACACAGAGATGCTCAAACTGTCTGAGGATCATTTTAGCTGCAGGTTTATTCAGCGGTCAAGTTCACCTTACTGCTGGTTATGTGGTATTGAGCTCTGAGCACACACTGCAAAAAATGAAAATCTAATTAAGCTATTTTTACTTAAAATAAGTGCATATTTTCTCCAATTCGGTACGAAAGTGAGACACTTTGCCAATGGAACAAGACAATTTACATTTAAAATAATTATTTAATTTAATTGCATTGTCTTATTTCAAGTTCACATTATCTAATTATCTTATTTTAAGAGTAAAGATACTAATTTCATTGGCAAATCATCATATTTACCCACTCAAATTGAGGGTAAATACACTTAATTTAAGAAATTTTCACTTATTTCTAGATCAATTTTGCAGTTCAGGTGAATGTTAAGTTCCTAGACTCTTTTAGTGTGGCACTGTACACCTATAGGAAATGAGTGACGGACCAAAGCAGGAGCTGGTAAATAGCTGATGACAAACACACAATGGAAACATAGCGGCCTTTGTCAGTTGGGGGGGGGGTCTCATTCAAAGCTCAGCACCTCGGGCTGTGACTGTGCCAAGGTCAGCAGAATCTCACCGAGCTGAGAGAGAAGCAGCTCCATGAGAACTTTAGGTTTAATTAACTAGTGAGCTCAGAACCACAGCAGCATCTATACTGAAATGTTTTTTTTTCCCCATATAAAATTTAGATATTTTTTGTTAACTGAACTGAACATTTTTGGAAAAAGCAATGAGTTCCTGACAATTTTCTATTCATTTTAGTTGGCATTACATTCAGGATGTCTGAGCGCAAAACGGCTACATGGTTTGGGTTTTTATTCTCTGCATCTTCCACAAATCACTAAAGTAGCTTATTATTTATCTATTGGACATATTTCTGAAACCTCTCAAGCTTTTACCAAAATCTGCGACACTTGAGGCCTGAATTCTGCTGTAGATCATTCAAATTACCTAGCTGACTAACTACAGTAGGTTCTTATTTAACGAGTTTAGAAACCGAAGATCTGGTTTAAAACCAAGATCCAGCAAATTGAGACAAAAAAAAAATTAAGTTTACTGATTTCTGAACATTAATGTTTGGATTATCTGTCAGCAAATGAAACACCAGACTTACGAATTAGTAGGAAAAAAACGTATTTCTTGTGGCAGCCCATAGAAAAAAGACATTAAAGTCTAGATAAATCATTAAGTGCTTTTATACTGAATGTTTTCTAGTAGATCAAAGATTTCCCCCTAAGAGATCCCCGTTCTTTACCTGAGAATAAAAGCATCCACATAACATGTATCCATTATTCTTATTAGTAATCTAACATTATTTCTCTAAAATCGAATACTTCTGCATTTTATTCATAATAAATTTATAAATACAGGAAGCTACATCCACATGTTGATCTTGTTCTGGGAGGTAAATATGTGGGCATAAAATATCTGTTTTAGTGAGAAAAAAAATCCTATACAGTTAATATAAGGTAATTATCTTAAAGTGCTTTTAATTCCATTTAAATCACTTAACAGGCAGGTTTGAGTTTAAAAACAGCATATGAGGCCATTTTGTTTTCATCCGATGGTGTATGTTTTCATATCTGCAGGCAAAAAAAAAAAAACAGCAAAAAGACAAGAAGATTTAAAATAAAAGACAAAAATTTCACATTGTGGACATTTAATTTAAATAAATAAATAATATGTGTTTCAAATAAAGCTTACTGGGGGCTCTGGGGATGAGACTGGGCTGGTTAACTTCCCTGGTTTTAAGCCAAAAAGGAAAAACTTGTCTGTGTTCTCTAAAGCGACACACAGGATGCTTCAGGGCAGAGAGACCAAACTTGTCCTTTGAACTTGTTGGATTTTCTAAAATGTTTTTTACTTTGTTATTTTGGATTAACCTGCTCACACTGATTCTTGCTTTTTTTAAAAGATTTTTAAAGGATTTTTTTTAGAGATGTTCCTCTCTAGTGTCGCCACATTCCTGTTAAGGAGGAGGAATTGCTGTAAAGTGCAGAGCTTCCTTTGATAACCTTTAACCAAATGGGATAATAAACTGGATTTGACTTCCCTGTAAGAAAACCAAGACTCAAATGGAAGGTATGCAGCTTAAAGAGCCTTTCCAAGACATTTGTTGATGAGCGTTTTTTATAGGTTGTGTAAATTGAAAAGAAAATAATAAACATATCTCATGGCTTTTATTCTTGCTCTACAACAAGCCAACGACGTCGTGTTTGGGTTTAAAGTGATTTGGAGTGCGGTGGTAAATCCAGATGCCTCGTTTTATTTCACCAGGATAAGAATAGCCGCCTGATATTTCCCAGAAAACAACCTGAAGCTGCAGCATCCACATTACATCAGCGCATCGCGACGGCAGCTGGTGTAAAAATATGTCAAACAAACCCGCCGGACGACTGAAACCTTGTCAAACAGAAAGCGTTTCAGCTCCAGAGCTGAGGATTGATGGTAAAGAAAGCAGGGAGCAGTGGACAGGAGCGGGGAAGCTGGGCTGGCTGGAGGATCAATCTGGCTCTGTCTAAACACTGCACACCCGGAGCAGACCCGATGGAGCCGACCGCGGCGTTTATGGGAAAAGACTGAACTAAAGTCAGTGATGCATTCACCAAACGGCTGTCAAACACCTAAAGGTCTGCCCACTTCTTCATTTTAGGTTCAAAGCTCTTAGAAAAACATTGTATTATTTACTTAACAGATATTTACTTTGAACGTCTTTGATGAAAAAAAAAAATCCCCAGAAAACTTCCTCCTTCCAAAGCAAGACCTGAAAGTTTTTATATTCTAGACTTTGGTAGTTCCTGTCTGAATATCTGACTTTGCTCAGAATTAGTTAAGAGAAAGTTTTTTGCTGCTGCCGCAGGGACAGGGAACTAGTGAATCCAACAGGGAACCTTCTGCGGCTCAGAGAGGAGGCCTTAAGGCACATCACGGAGCAGAGCCAGCGTTCCAGTCATGAATCAACCCCAACGATCCTTTAGTCTGACCGCCTTCAGCTCAACATGACCTGCAGTAACTCCTGATCTGTGTTAGCATCACCGCTTGCACAATGTGGAGGAGAGCAGCTGATGATGAGGTCTGATGGGGCCACATCCTAACCTGAAGAGGAGGAGGTGAGGTTTTTCTGTAGGGTCTGCTTGCCTCTCAGGCCTCGGTTGCCATGGCAGCTGCTCCATGCATCCAACATTGAACTCTATTAAAACCCAGTAAAAAAATCCTCTGGACTGTCCCCCCCACCGTTATGATAGCAGATGGCCACGATGCAGTTCAGTCCTGTTACGTAACAGCCATCATGTCTATTTGGATAGAAAAAAAAAATAACATCTCTTCTTCTTCTGCTTCTATTTTAGGAACACTGTGACACGTCACCATGGCGAAGCACCGATCCGACTCTGGTCTTCAGCGCCTTGCGCTCAAGAAACAATTTAAAGGTTTATGCTCCACGCCTTATATGGAGGTGAGGGGATGTGATTCCCTGTCAGGAATGTGCCGCTGTCGTCAGCGCCTGCAGGCTAAAACACAATTTATGGGCTGATCGGGAAACGACCCACTCCAAGGCAGTGTGCACCGAGCCCGGTTTACAAGTTCTGGTGTAAACAAGCCCAAGACTAAAGGGTTCAGCCTAGGGTCCGACATCCACATGGAAGCATAAGAAAGCAGAACCTAAGCCAGAGGAAACAGCTTTAACGTTTCCAAAGCAGCAATGAGGAAGAAACTGCAGCTAAAACCACCATCCTGATGAACATCTATCTACATTACTGGAAACAACAGTCACTCTGCAGTTCTAGAGATCTACTTTAACTGAGAGCAGCAGAAGCAGCAATGATGTTAACTTTGCACCCTGCAAACCTAATTCTTATTATACATCTGCTCTGGAGACCACATACTGATATTCACAGCATAAGTATGGCTGACAGGTGCAAACGTGCTGCAAACATAAGAATGATGCAATCTTTAACAAACTCTGCAGTCCAACAATGACCTTAATGACTCCCCATTACAAAGGGGTGGACCTGTTTTCGGTACAATTTGCATGTTTTCTAAGCCACAACAAGGCTTTTGTTGGGCGACTCTATAAAGCTTGGAACTCAACGCCACTACAGACATTTTGAATTGAGAAAGCTTTGTGGATGGGAAGCCAAATGTCTTAAAACTTGGAAAACAAAGTCCAGTGGTTTGTTTTTAACTTTTTTTTTTTTTAATGACTATGACCCGAAGGACTGAGAATCTTCACCAGCACACACTCTGAAACACACAAGAAATAAATAAATGAAAGAAGAGAGTTCTGGACCTTCACAAAACTGGTTTAACCTTGGAGGAAACTTCCTTCCCTTTCAACACTATCCTAACTGGAAAGCACAGTGGCGGCAGCATCATGCTGTTGGGGTAAAACCGTTGCACTTCACAAAAGCTTTGTGAACACTGAAGCTACATTCTAAACACATCAGTGATAAAGTTAAAGCTTTGGCTCCTTGGTTCGACGACTCTTTTAAAGATGAGCAGCGTGAAAACGAAGGACCTGGACGCTGACTTTAGGAATTCATCCTCCCATCCTGCTCTGTGGGCAGCGAATGGTGCCAGCTTGAACTGGTGGATAGCCGAATGCTGAAATTAGGGGCTGCGCTTGCTGATCCCGTGCCCACATCTTGCTGCTGTTACAAAAATTGTAAAAACTAGTTGCTAAGGAAATGTTGAGTTTTTTTATGTGTCATTTGAAACACCTTTTCTTTTTTTTAAATAAAAGTTAAGTTAGATTTCTACAAATTTATGAAGGGGTCTGTCTCTCTGGTTGATAAAATCGAACCTGGTAACTGGGTTAAGGTAAGATAGGGATAAAACAATTCATCGGATTAATCATGATTAATCAATAACTTTAATAATCACCACCTAATTTAGTAATCGATTAATCGTTACCTGGAGTATACTGCAAAACATGCCTTTAGTTGACATAGCAACTTATTTAGAGCAGTGATTATGTCAAAGTTGTAAAAACATTTATGAACATTTTGCATTTAAGAATAAAAAAAAATCTTGTACATCAGTAAATATGCTCAATCCAGCCTCCTCAAGTGGAAAAGTTTTAGTTTCACTTGGTTTGATTTTGTAAAAAGTCCTCTTTAAGGAACCTTTAGCTATTCGATTATTAATCGAAAAAATAATCTGCAGATTAATTGATTTGCAAAATAATCGCTTGTTGCAGCCCTTCTAAGACTTCATGGAGCCTATGGGCCATGTTGACTGGCCATGTCACTGCTCTTCTCTTCCTAAGTAGTCCATGTGTGAACTATTTGGTTTTACGGTTTTTTTTCTTAATGGGGACAATACAATAACCACTGACCACCGGCATTTAGCACTGGATTTGTTAGAAGGTGGCAACAAAGTCGGTGTTTTAGAGTGACCATCACCGACCTGACCCAGTTAAACCAGTTCTGTCAAAAGGGAATGGGCCAAATTTACAGCAAACTATTGTGAGAAACTTGTAGAAGAATACCCAAAATGTTATGTCTAAGTACATTTCCACTGAATGTTTAGAAAATGTAAATACATTCCCGAACTCTCTCATCATATAGAAACAGAAATTATTTCAGTAAACACAACCGACTTAAAACAAGAAAAAAAACAGCAAGGACAAATGTTTTATAGGTTTATAGTGTGTATATAATAAACACACCCTGATGGTGCAGGATAGATTATGTCAGAGCTTCCTTCACTTTGTTCAGGCATCTGCATAACTTCCCTCATCAAACAATAAATTTACTCATTATACTGTTTAACAACCTCCTCTGACTCGACGATGCAGTCATGGGAGAGTCACTGGCCAACCAGCAGCTCACTCACCTTGCATACACCTTTCTATTCTGTGAACGAGCTGATAGGACTTGCAGCGGTCCAGCAGAGTTCGGATGGCTGGTAGCGGGTCCAGGACCACGGTCTCAGGGTGAGCATCGATGTAGTCCTGAAAATGTAGAAGAAAAAAAAAACATTAAGCTCCTTTTATGATTTTAAAAATCATCATCATCATCAAAATCCTAATATCCACAGTATGAAATCATAGGTTTGCGGTGAAGCAAACGATTTAATAAGAAAAAAAGAAAACATCACTATGAGTTGGAGCTTGTTTTATGACGGGTTTTCAGCTTTTCTCTCTGGCAGCAAAAACTCATAGACAGGTTACACCACAGCCTTTCACAAGGGATTAAATCAGCTGCGACTGGCAGAGATAATCAGAAGGTTTCTGTGCCCTGAAAACTAGTTTAGCTTTAATTGCTTTCAAGTTTTATTTGCAGCCTTGCGACATTTCAGGATTCTTCTAAAAGCTCCAGGTTCCACCTTTTGTCCTATTGAGGTCAGGCATGCGAGAGGCTCCAATGTGTTTTGAAACCCGTTCCACCACATCTGCAGTAGGGTCATCCAGAAGCAGAGTACGATCATGGCGATAAAAAGCTGTCTGCCCTCTGTGGATCTACAGCCACAGATTTGTTAAACAGAATTATGTCTGCAGGGCAGAAAAAACTGAATCAGACTGTGGATTTGTCTCGGCCTGTGTTTGACGGATGGTTTAATGTATGCCAGCAGCTCTTTGGAGGTTACATCACCGCATCGCTGTCTGCCGACCGCTCGGTCAGCATGAGGTTGCCTGTTTTACATAACCACACACACTCTTTCTCTCATCCTGCCATCTGTTTTTGACTCTCTGCTCGCTTGGTCTGCACGCTCCCTCCACGCTCTTCGCCTTCAACAAATTTGCCTGCTTGCTGGTACTTTAGAGGAATCCCTTCTGACTCCCATCCGTCGTCAGATGTCACAAGACAAAAGTGATCTCAATAAGTAAAGAACATTTGCAAGTCATTTGAGCAGGTAAATAAGATGAAATTTTTGCCATTAAAATAAAATAGCCATTATGCACTTGAAATAACATAAATAAATAAACTTAAATCATATTCAGTTAACAAATTGTTTTATTTTCCTGATTAAATCAAGAAAAAATGCATTAAATTTGAATAGAAATGACCTATTTATATTTAAATGTTTGTAGTGCAGCCTGTTTCTGCACATTACAGACATTTACAATAGAATAGCACTTTATTTCCTTAATTTAACAGAGACAAAATCTTATATGGCTTATACAATTAAGCACATGCAAAAAAATACCTTAAGCAAATATTGAAATGGAGAAAAGCATTGAGGCAGGCGCCCATCAGGGTACCATCTGCAAGATTTACCCCAAGCTAACAGGAAGCTGATCAAAGCTAGATGAACTGTTTTGCAAGTCGAAGACGCATCAAACAATGCTGACTTAACCCATCAGCGTTGATAAAAATGCGATGATTAGGCCGACCATTTGAGAGCTTAGAAGTACAGAGAAGAGAGGGGGAAGTGAGAGACAAAAGGCTCTTCAGCAGGTGATGAGCCAGACGCATGTTAGCGTGGGCGTATAGGAGACGCCTGCACATGTTGCTCAATTCTGGAGCCGATTAGTACAGATCAAATGGCTTCAAGACATAAAATACATTAGAACATAATTCAGCATTTGGATCCACCGACTCCTCATGTGTTCGGATTTATCACCAGGGTGTAAATCCACCAGAACACTGCTTATGTTTGTGGAAATGATTCTTCAGCAGGTTCACGCTCAGTTCTTTCATTAAAGCTTCCATGATCTGCAAACAGCATTCATCTGTAACACTGAGAGCAGCTCCAACCCCTGAATCACAGCAGAGGATCCAACCATGACAGTTTGTTTTAACCAGAGACCTATAATAGAGAGGAGACCTTCTTCCTCTGCAGCACAGAGATTCATTATAATCAAAGCTGCCTTATAATAAGAAGAAAGGATCCAAAGGTTATAATTCACACAGATCTGTAAACACATAACAAAACCAGGTTTCACTCCACCTGATGCTGCTCTGATAGAAAGGCCTCCTAACAAGACAAAAACGTAACGACGCAGCCTCATATGCAAGCAAGTGTTGCACCATTCAATCAGCATTTACAGCCAACCGTTCGGTCATTACACTCCGAAGCTCAATATCGAACCAACCCTAATCCCTTCAGTCTGCACCCCACCCACTAATCACAGTCACTCTGATTTCCTGTTTGTTGTACTGATGGGGTCAGGAGAACCGGTAACATCCTGATGATCATGATTCTATTTCCTTTGAACCAGACAGAGCAACTGGGTCAAAGTCGGAGCAATAAATCCATTTTACACCATCTGCTGCACGGCCAGCTTAAGAAACACAAACAGCAGATAGTATCCCAGTGGGCGGAGCCTCGCCTCAGACTTCCAGGTTTACTGAGTCATGTAGTCAAGGGTTCCGCTGATGATGCCGCTGTTCATAAAGCCGGTTTGATTCCTCCAACTGGGACTGAATATATCCGCCTCATCAGTGTTTACGTCTCTGGCAAAGCTACAACAGACTGGCAGCGAATCGTTAAACAGCTGGGTCTCACGACCACTCCACGTCGCCACATCACCTGAGGAGTTTGGATTCCTCAGACCTGCAGGCGCCCATGTTTATTCTGATCATGGCTCAGTGGAAGCACTGTTACGCTCCGAGTATCCAGGACAGCATCACGCCGTAGATCATCTGCTGACTTTTCAGCAGTCAGGAGAGAAGCAGAACAAATAAACAGATCTTGGATCAGGATATGAATCCTGTTTATGTCTTAGAGACCCTGAAGGTTAAATTATTCAAACTGGGAACAGACTCTAATTAAAATAAAATTTTCTTCTTTCATTCCATCTCAGTTGCTCTATTTGTCGGCAGCCTTTGTCAGACTGCTCTATCCCTCTGTCCACATGGTCACCAACACCCCGAGACCCCAACAGAGAGTCCTGCTGGACAGCTCCAGATGATGTCATATCCTCAAGAGCCAACTTTAGCTTTTATTGCAATAATAGAGTGAGACTTCCATCAAATCAATGGTGAGGCTTTGGTGATCACCGTGTGTGTGCTGACGTTTATTCCCAAAAGTTTAAGTCCTGTTAACCATCAACCTTCATCTGTTCAGTAAAACAGAAGCAGTAATCCGTATCAGTATTTTTTTTTTTACTTTTCTTTGCGTCAATGGATTTGTGAATTCTCCAAAGAAGTAAAAACTCTGCCCTGAATCTGTACCTGTACTCTCTGGACCTGCAGCACGGCTTGTGAGTCGTTCTGGTCCGCTTCCAGGATGAGGTCGGTCAGTTTGTGGATGATGAGGTCCAGCGGACCCTGGTCCTCCAGAGGCTGGCTGAGGTCCAGCTGAGGGCAGAAGAAAACAAGCAAGAGGTCAAAGCAAACCCTCCATTGTTGTGTATTTAGCTAATTTTCCTCCCAACACACAAACTCATCCTGTCTCTCTACCCTACTGCAAGGCCTCCCCACTTTATTTAGTTATTCACCTTTTCCTTCAGGCAGAGCCTGGCAACCCTACAGAGAAAGCTCATTTCAGCTACTGGTTTCCAGAGTCTCATCCTTTCAATCCTAAACCAGATCTCTGAGTTAAGAACAAAATAATCTAAATAAACTATTTTTTTGAACTATTCTATTTATTGTTGAATAGCCTCAGCCAGTTTATTAAATTCTTAAACTAAAGCTGTCAGCTATAAACTAGATTATTCAGTCAGTATCATTAACTTGCTGCAGCTGGCCCTTGCTTTAAAGTGGATGCAGTAAATTACATTCTTCTCAACAATCTTTAAACACTGTTGTCTAGATCTGACCTCCTGAGAGATGTAACTTATTTCTGGGACATTTCTATACATATTTTGATGGAGAAACTGGAGATGTGAAGGAGGGATAGTGGGAGTCTGGAGCATAGAGGATGATACAGAAGAAAAGGCTGTATTTCTTTTGTTTTTATGGCAGAAGCTCCAGCATCAGACAAATGCACAGTGCTGAGGAATGAGGTAAAGAAGCCAAAAGGTCAACAGGAACGAGATTGAAGCAGCAAATCTTCATCTGGCTGCACAACTAGTCGGTTGCAGTAAATACACTTAGCCCTTTAAAGTGAAGTGTATCATACTTGATACATGAGTGAGATATTTTTGTTCTTGAAACCTTGACTTACGCATTCAGGCACGTAGTGAACAGGAAACACATAACAGATTATACAGAAATGGACGTAAATAAAAGATCTAATTTAACTTAAAAATGTATGTTTTCTTTTTTATTCAGTTCTGAGAAAGCTCAGTGAAAAATCTAATTTTTAAATACAAAATAGATTTTTCTGTCAATTATTTCATGGACCAGGCTTTAAGACCTGATGGTCTGAGGGGAGCAGTTCCACAAACCTGGACAAAATGTTTCCGATTAAACAAATGTCAACCCTGTCGTAATGCTTCAGGACTGCAGTGCATTAGTTAAAACTATTACAACATCTGCGTCTCCAGTACCAAAGTCACAAAAGGTTAACTTTGTTGTCGTGTTTGCCAGTTCGACAGACTTTAATGCCCACTGATGAGATCCTGGGCAAGAAGCCCAGCAGGACATATTATTGAAAGTAAAGCTACAACCTGTAACCCTTTACTATTTCCAAGACTTCAAAATCATCATAAAACACCTATAACATCTAAGAGGAATGATAGTCAGCTTGTCTTTGACCTACTGACCTGTTTCATAAAACATTTCTATTATATCAGACTAGAAAGCAAAATCATTCGTTAGAGGGTTGTAAATTTCCTCTAGCTGTTTTAGAACTACTTTCCTAAAGTCCTGCAGGGCTTGTTGAAAAGAAATGAAGAAAACACCTGATTAGCATTCCGCTCAGGTCTAACAGTGCATAAAGGCTGCCCAAACAGGCCAAGCAGCGAAGAAGCAGTCAAACAGGAGTGCCAGCTTTAACAAACAGAGGGCTCATTACGCACACGTGATCTAACACACCCAGAAACAGGTATGAAACCTAAAGCCTCCACAGATTAATAACTTAAGTTGCTCTAAAAGGTTTTAAATGTGGGGTTAGTGAGCAGATTGCTGCAGAATAGAGATAGGTACTTCAGAGAAAGAAACCCAGTTTGTAGAAGTCTGCCACACCTGTGCAAACAGGTCCGAGTCCAGCAGAACCCAACTGCTCTTTTCCCCTGTTTAGACACTGAGTCAGCTGATGAATACACACCTTTGTCACACAGGTGTGGATCAATGAAGGAGCTGTAAACCTGTACGGATCGACTCAGTTTAAGACCAAGCACAGCCGGCGCCGGTTAATGATTGTGAGAGGGATAGATGACTGATTACAGTCCGACGGGGAGGCTGGCCTTCATTGAGCAAGGTGTCGACACAGTTCCCCAGAGATGGTGATTCTTTATGTCATGATGGCATCAAGCAGTTGGTGCAGAGATGTCTGCTGCTTATTCATGGTGGTAATCGGCCATCAAAAACGAGCTCCTTTGCTTTAAGATATTCTCACTGTGAGGTAACTGCTCTATATTGATGTTCAAACAGAAAGTTTGAGATGATTTAATCGGTTGTTCTGCAACTACGGTGAGCATGTGAATTGGGGCCTTAGTGTGACATTCTGCTGTAGCCCATCTGTGCCACAGTTTAAAATGTGGAGCATATTCTTAATGTGTTGGACTTTAATGGGATAACATCTGCTTTAAGAGCATTAAGCTAGGACCGGGACAGTTCTGGATTGATAGGTGACCATCAAAACTCACCTTAAACTTAATTATTAGGAAAGCAAAATTAGGATAAATGACAAATAACACATCTAACAGAGAGACCGGATTGGTTCAGCTGGGATGCTGAAGTCTCATAGATACAACCAGACTTTTCTGCACAAAAGAAAAATCCTTTTGACATACTAAGGTTATTGACAGTAATGTCTTGGAATCCCGAAAAACAAGTAGGACAGGTCTGACATGAGACACATGGACGGCCAATCCCCAAAAACAGCAATAAAAGACTGAAAGGAGTGGCAGAACACCAAGAAGGAGCTCATTTTAATTACTGAAGATGTTGGTTACTGAAGCTCATTGAGTGAATATGGGAATGACATCAGGTGCTTTGTTGTTGAGCTGAAAGGCCTGGGGCATCCTAAGACCCATATGAAATAACAGGTCAGTGTGAGAAGTGTTCTGCATATCTGGACCATATCTGACCCAGCTGAGAGGACTCAGGCTACTCTAAATGCCAGAACCAGCAACACTTCTTTAGCGGCCGAGATGCTATAAACAAGAGCCATATTGGCAATTTTTAATAATAAAGAAGGAAAAATTCCTAGATTCAGAGTGAAATGAAATAAACAGATTTTAAAATTCACCTTAAATGGTTGAGCTGAATTTACATATGATATTTATTCAACACAAACGAGAAAATATTGGTACAAAAGGTTTTATTCCTGTGAAATCGGAGGGGTCATATGAAGAGATGCATCCAAACACCGTTCACCCCCCACCAGGCAACCTAATTTCCTTAACAGGTTCTTATCTTATTTTCACTTACAGTTTCTCTCTGTGTCGTTGTTGAAATTAAATTCCTCCTGCCTAAAGAAACCAGGCCAACAGACCGGAGTGACATGCCTACACATGCTACAGAAACTCAGAGATCGACTGATGCTGATCTTTAAAGGCTGATGCAGACTCTTTTGACAAACTGGATATGTGCTGCCAACCCTACTATAGTTATAATGATAAAACTGATGATTTTCGAAATACACTGTTTGAAAAAATACAAAAATAGGCTTCTTAAAGATACCATTTACATAAAGAAAGTGTCATTTCTATAGTTGCCACATTCAATTATATTCTTTGAATTTTCCAAAGCTCCGATGTAAAAAAAAAGGAAAAGAAAAATGCTACATTTTACTCTTTTTTTTTTTTTTGGTTTTTTATCATCACTCATCGTAATTTGTTGAGTGGACGATAAATCGTATAACGATAAGCGATTCGATAAATGCTCACCCCTACTTAAATTAAATGATAACATAATCTTTAGGTAAGGCACGCATGTATCAGCGAGCAACGATGCAAAAAAGAAAACGATGTCGACCAGCAATATATCAGCAAACCGATGTAACGGTCTATTTCAGCTGGTTGCTCAATAGAAAATATACACTTTACACCAACGCAGAGACGCCACCAATTAAAACTACAGCATTGTCATCTTCTTAATAACAGCTTATTATGTTATTATTTTGTTCCCTCTTTCGTTGTTGGATTTTATTCCTCCTGCCTCTGGGGAAAAAAAGCCTCCAGGTTAAAGTAACACGCCTACGAACGCAGCAAAAAACATGTAAGTTCACTGTGTCATGAGGCGACAGAGGTTTGTTCAGCAATTGAGCATTTTGAAACCACTTAAAACTGTTTAACCAAGGAGAAAAACCTCAAACATCCCAGAAACACTAAATACAGCAGCTACGTGTCAAGCCAGTCGACGGATTTCACGCTTTAATGCCACACTGCTTTGTTCAGAACGGGCAACAATGCACATCAGATGAAGATAGAAGCCTGAGAACATCAGCCATCTCTTCGACCGACGACAGATTGCTCAAGAGAAATCTGCATGCAGCTCCCCTCTCTAAACCCCACATCTGGTGTTTTCTTATCTTCGTTTGACATTTAAATTAGTTTGATGAGATAAAACAGTATTGTCTCACAAATGCACAAAAGAATAAAAAATGTTTTTCTTTTCACTGTATTAGAATAGAAATAAAAATATGCTCCATCATCGCTCAGAGGGGATATTCAGGTGTTACCAGCAGGAAATGGGAGCAGACTGAACATTAAGGACAACTTTTAAAACATAATAAGCGCATCAGATTCAAATAAATGCGTTCATGAGTGTGATAATTTCCTATTTTCTATTCTAAGTGGTGATTTTTAAAGATAAAAAAACTGGGTTGCACATTTCAAATTAATTAGAAAAAAGAACACTACTGACCACCAAACGACTGGATGGGAGCTACAGATCCCAATAAGCTTTAACAGCCTCTGCAGTGGTGGAAATCGTTAAGAAGTCATTCGGAGGCTGTTTTTGGAGGAGTGATGACTGGCCTGCAGCAGCACCATGACGTATTTTGCTTTCTGTTTAGCCAGCAATGTCAGCCTGATGAGGCCCGCTGGACCAAAATCTCTAATTCCACCGAGGCACGGCGTTTAATCTCCTGCTTACACAACACAGAGGGTCCATCCAGGGTCCGGCCTCTCCATACAAACAGGATTCTGCTGCGGCGCGGGTCATTCCCCGCTTGCAGACACATTTGGTAGACAAATTGACCCTGCTTTAGAGTGCTGAAGCTCAGCAGAAAAGTCACTGATGTGGGG